GAAACATTTAACTCGTTTATACATACATATATGTATAAATAAGATAGAGAAGTCGGAGTTACCGTCTTATTGCCGGAAACCATGGCGGAAAAGCACAAATGGAGAAGCACGGAACGGCGACCGACGAGAGGAGATAGGGAGAGCGAACTGACGAATAATGGACTAGTTTTTCTTCTGGGAATTAATAGGTGTGCGCGTTACACTCGCGTGCCCTTAAATGGGCTTTTTGTTTTATTAGTAGCTATTGGCCCAAAGTCGAAAGCCCAGATAAATATTGAGCAATAACTTGGGAGGGAAAATAGAAATGTAATTTTGCAAAATATTGAAAATATGTTTGGTCTGACATTTTTAAAAATGTATTCTTAAAAACACAATTTTTACGTTTTGAATATTTTCAATGAAAAATCTGAAAACATGAAAAACAAGCGTTTAAATATAATTTAATTTTTAAAAATAAAAATATGAAATTCTAACAAATAAAATCTAAAATTATAAAAATTAATAAAAAAATAAAAATAAAAGTAGTTCAAACTCTTAATAATCACGTAAAAATTTCTCAATTTATTATTTATTTTTATTTTACTTTTGAAACAAGAAAAAATATTGTAAGATTTACCAACTTCAAAATGTACGTATTACTTGACAATATATTAAGATGAAATTGTTCTGTTTTATTAAATAATCAAATTTTATTGAATAAAATATCATAAAATAATTTAAAAATTTTTTGAACTAATTGTATTTTCTAATTTTCAGTTTTGAGAAATATTTTTTTAAAAAATAACAAACCAAAGGCGTTTTTAGCACTCTTAAAATATACACACAAAACAAAAAGCTAAAAATGAACTAAAAACCAAAAATTAAAATACAAACCAAACAGTCCGAAATTTCTAATTATTAATGTAACGATCCAGGTCCCACTTAACGGGCTATCATGGTCGTTAGATTGACGACGTACTGTCCTCACTGTACCAACATGGTTCTTTTCAACATGCTTTATCCTCACTCGCACGCTCCCCAAGAAAACTTCTCAGGAGGTCACTCATCATAGAATTTCTAACTGTAGAGTTTCTAACGATGGACTTTCAAAAAAGAAGTTGCACATTATTGGTATGAGTAGTACATATCAAATCTTATAAACTATCTTGGTTTGGGTTATACAATCACACCCTGTTAGCCTCGCGCCGTCCTCGTCGCGCTTGATCCATCTGAGGATCAGATGCCAGGCGATGGGA